CCTCTGCTGAGATTGCTGACCTGAAGACCACTATTCAGATCTTGAAGTCGGAGGCGGAAAAGATCAAGGGACAGCATGTGGCGGAAGTTCTGGAACTTAACACCACAATCCAGAATCTTCAGTCAGCACTCGACACTGTTAAGGGACACCATGAGACCAAGCTCTCTGAGTTGAACACCACAATCCAGAAGTTGCAGTCAGAGCTCGAGACAGGCAGAGGACAGCATACTACCGAAGTCTCTGGTCTGAACAAGACAATCGAGGAGCTCAAGTCGCAGATGGATGCCAGTCAAGGGAAACATGAGTCTGAGGTCTCCGACCTCAACAAGACAATCCAGAAGTTACAGTCGGAGCTCGATGCCAGCAATGGACAGAGCGCGGCAGAGGTTTCTGACCTGAAGAAGACAATCGAGACGCTGCAGTCGGAGCTTGACGCCAGCAGTGGCCAGAGCGCGGCGGAAGTTTCTGACCTGAAGAAGACGATTGAGGCGTTGCAGTCGGAGCTTGAATCTAGCAACGGGCAGAATGCTACTGAGGTGTCCGATTTGAAGAAGACGATTGAGAGCCTTCAAGCCGAGCTGGAGGCTGGCAAAGGAAAGCAGGCAACTGAAGTAACCAGCTTCCAAGAGACCATCAAGACGCTTAAGTCTGAAATGGACGCCGCCAAAAAGCAGCATGAGACCGAGGTTGCGGAGCTCAAGTCCACGTCCAAGGCCTTACAATCGGAACTGGACACTGCTAAGGAGAAGGCTACGAAAGAAATACAGTCTACACGCGATGAACTGTCCTCTAAGTGCACTGCCTCGGAGAAGCGAGCCGAGAAGGCCGAGAGTGAGGTAGAAAAGGCTGAGGAGGCAGCACGCAAGGCTACCCAAGCGCTTGAAGAGGCCCGGAAACAGCTCGAGAAGGCCGAGGCGGAGGCCAAGGAGAAGGAGGAAGCTCGCAAGGCGGCACAGTCTGAGCTTGAGGATTTGCTGATCGTGTTCGGAGATCTGGAGGCGAAGAGAAATGAGGACAAGGTAAGTCCACTGACCCTAACCTAACCCAATGACTATGTAGATGACTCATATTGTTCCTTAGCAACGTTTGAAGGATCTCGGTCAAGAGGTGTCCGAAGCTGAAGATGAGGAGGAGGAGGATGAAGAGGACGAAGAGGACGAGGAGGAAGCCTAATGGAGATGCCAATATTGGTGGTCCTTGCATGAGGCGCAGGGCGTAGGGCGTAGCAGCCCTGGATTGCATTCCAATGACGAACAAAGCATGAGTGAGTCAGAGCCATGGGAAGTTAGTCCCAATTTGTACACCAAAGATGGGAATTAGCCTTGTGACTAGCGTAGTAGCCATTGTACAGTGTACCTGAGCCATAATATTCCATATATAGAGATGTTTTTTGAGGGACAGTCACACCGGCTGATGTCGGCGGTAGGCGAAGCGGGCGCTGATTGGCCAGCGAAGACAAAAAATGGTGCGCGGGGTGAGTCAAACGATTCTGCCGCTTGTGCGCAACCTTCAATCGGGCTTTAAATCTACCCCGCGGATCCCTCGTTGGAAGATCGCAAGTCGACAGATTTCCTCCCTGTCACCTCCTCTCCCCTTCCCCGCTCGCCCGTCATGTCCATTGATTTTCCCCGCGAGGAGGAGGCCATCCTCCAGAGGTGGAGGGAGATCAACGCCTTCCGGAGGCAGGTTGAGCTCTCCGAAGGTCGTAAACCATACACCTTCTACGATGGCCCTCCGTTCGCTACCGGTCTGCCTCACTATGGTCACTTGTTGGCCTCGACCATCAAGGATATTATTCCCCGTTACTGGTCTATGAAGGGTCACTATGTCGAGCGTCGCTTTGGCTGGGATACTCATGGTGTGCCCATCGAGTACGAGATCGACAAGAAGCTGGGTATGTCGGGTCTCGAGGCCGTCGAGAAAATTGGTATCGAGAAGTACAACGAGGAGTGCAGAGCCATTGTCATGAGATTCGCTTCGGAATGGCGTCAAACTATCGAGAGACTGGGTCGTTGGATCGACTTTGACAATGACTACAAGGTAGACAGGCCCATCATCTTGTACCCAGCGGTCTCTACATATGCTGACCATGCATTATAGACCATGAACGTGAGCTTCATGGAATCAGTGTGGTGGGTCTTCAAGCAGCTGTTCGACAAGGACCTTGTCTACAGAGGCTACCGCGTCATGCCTTACTCGACCGCCCTCAACACCCCCCTCAGTAACTTCGAGGCTCAACAAAACTACAAGGATGTGCAAGACCCTGCCGTCGTCGTCACATTCCCCCTCGTCCACGAGCCCGAGACTTCCCTTCTTGCATGGACGACCACGCCATGGACCCTGCCCTCGAACATTGCCCTCGCGGTCAACCCCACCTTCGAATACATCAAGATCCTCGACGAGGCATCTGGAAAGCACTACATCCTGCTCGAGTCTCTGCTCCGGACGCTGTACAAGGACCCCAAGAAGGCCAAGTTCAAGATCGTCGACCGCTTTAAGGGTGCTACCATGAAGGACTGGAAGTACCAGCCCCTCTTCGATTACTTCTACGAAGAGTTCAAGGAGCACGGTTTCCGGGTCCTTAACGCCGAGTACGTTACTGCTGAGGACGGTACCGGTATCGTCCACCAGGCTCCCGCCTTTGGTGAGGACGATTACAGAGTTGGCATGGAGAACGGCGTCATCAGTGAGAGCCGTCTCCCCCCTAACCCTGTAGATGAAAAGGGTTGCTACACAGCCGAAGTGAAGGACTTCGAGGGCCAACACGTCAAGGCTGCCGACAGGGGCATCATCAAGCACCTGAAGGCTGCTGGACGCCTGGTTGTCGACAGCCAGATTACTCACAGCTACCCCTTCTGCTGGCGTTCCGACACTCCCTTGATCTACCGGGCTGTGCCGGCTTGGTTCGTCAAGATCGGCCCTATCATCCCTCAGATGCTCCAGGGCATTGACGACTCCCACTGGGTGCCGAGCTTTGTCAAGGAGAGACGCTTCTCCAGCTGGATCCAGAATGCTCGCGACTGGAACATCTCGAGAAACCGTTTCTGGGGTACTCCTCTGCCCTTGTGGGTGAGCGATGACTTCAAGGAGGTTGTCGCCGTTGGTAGTGCAGAGGAACTCAAGCAGCTTAGTGGTTACGAGGGTGAACTCACCGACCTGCACCGCGACAAGGTCGACAAGATCACCATCCCCAGCAAGCAGGGCAAGGGCGTCCTTCGCCGTGTTAGCGAGGTGTTTGATTGCTGGTTTGAGTCTGGCAGCATGCCTTATGCATCCCAGCACTACCCCTTTGAGAACAAGGAACAGTTCGAGAACAGCTTCCCCGGTGACTTCATCGCGGAGGGTCTTGACCAGACTCGTGGTTGGTTCTACACCCTGACTGTGCTTGGTACGCACCTCTTTGGCAAGCTTCCTTTCAAGAACTGTGTCGTCAACGGCATTGTTCTCGCAGAGGATGGAAAGAAGATGTCCAAGAGACTTAAGAACTACCCTGATCCCTCCCTCGTCATGGAGCGTTACGGTTCCGATGCTCTTCGCCTCTACTTGATCAACTCTCCAGTTGTGCGCGCTGAGCCCCTTCGGTTCAAGGAGTCGGGCGTCAAGGAGATTGTCGCCAAGGTTCTTCTTCCCCTCTGGAACAGCTACAAGTTCTTCGAGGGTCAAGCCGCTCTGTTCAAGAAGACCCAGGGCTTCGATTACACCTTTGATCCTAAGGCGGAGGCTACTAACACCAACGTCATGGACCGCTGGATCCTGGCCAGTTGCCAGAGTCTTCTCAAGTTCGTCAACGAGGAGATGGCCGGATACCGTCTGTACACTGTCGTTCCTCGCCTGCTTGAGTTGATCGACAACACCACCAACTGGTACATTCGTTTCAACCGCAGACGTCTCAAGGGTGAGAACGGTGTCGATGATACCCAGCATGCCCTGAACACCCTCTTCGAGGTCCTGTACACCCTGGTCCGGGGCCTGGCTCCCTTCACTCCTTTCCTTACCGACACCATCTACCTGAAGCTTCTCCCTCACATCCCCGAGGCGCTCCGTAGCGAGGATAGCCGCAGTGTCCACTTCCTTCCCTTCCCCGAGGTTCGGGAAGAGCTTTTCGATGAGGTTGTCGAGAGGCGCGTGGCCCGGATGCAGAAGGTCATTGATATGGCTCGTATCTCCCGTGAACGTCGGAACATTGGTCTGAAGACGCCTCTGAAGACTCTCGTTGTCATCCACCAGGACCAGCAGTACCTGGACGATGTGAAGTCCCTGCAGGGATACATCCTCGAGGAGCTGAACGTTCTTGAGCTTGTCCTGTCCTCGGACGAGGAGAAGTACAACGTCCAGTATAGTGTGACCGCCGACTGGCCTACGTTGGGCAAGAAGCTGAAGAAGGAGGTCCAGAAGGTCAAGAAGGCCTTGCCCTCTCTGACCAGCGAGGATGTGAAGAAGTTCGTCGCCGACAAGAAGATGCTTGTTGACGGCATTGAGCTTGTTGAGGGTGATCTGGTCGTGAAGCGTGGAATGAAGGAGGACAGCGCGTCCGCCAACATGGAACCCAACACGGATAGCGACTTGCTGACCATCCTGGACGCTAACCTGTACCCCGAGTTGGCCGAGCAAGGGTTGGGCCGTGAGATCATCAACCGTCTGCAGCGTCTTCGTAAGAAGGCGGGTCTTGTCCCCACCGACGATGTGAAGATGGAGTATGCCGTCCTGTCGGATCCCGAGGATGTGGGCATCAACAAGGCGTTTGAGACGCAAGCCAAGGCCATCGAAAAGGTTGTGCGCAGACCGCTCGACCGCTACGAGCTTGTGGACGGCAAGGTGCCCAGCGGAGAGGAGCCGGGAATGATCATCCAAGAAGAGCAAGAAGTACAAAAGGCCACCTTCCTGTTGCGTCTGCTCAAGTTGTAGAGGTTTGATCGATTCACACAGACAAGATGTTGATAGCTTAGACCATACAATTCCCGCTAGTTACGATGTTTTGACATTTCTTTTTGTTTAGTTGATGGATGAATAAAATTACACACGTTCATGATGAGATTTTTTACATAAACCTGTAGAGACCTTTCCTATACAGACACCGCCATACATGCTATCAAAAGCCAGTCAGCCCAATACGCCTAAACCATGTAGTTCTCCTGCAACCCATCATCCACCATTAAACTTTCTTCGAGGCCGCCTGTCAAGCGTGAATTAGCCATGTTACAGGTGAAGTCATCCCGGAGATACGGGTTTTAATCCTACCAGAAAGCAGTCCTTGAGCTTCATGAACTCCTTGGCGCACATGTCCTTTTGCACGGCATTGTAGTCCGCAACGACGCATTTGCCATACGCAGCGGCCTGAAAGCCCGTCTGTCAGTTGGAGCGAGCAGAGTCAGAGATTCATATCATATCATACCTCGACCGAGCACTTCGAGGCAGCCTTTGCAAATTTCTCAATAGGTCTTGTCTTTGTCGACGGCATCTTGCCCAGTGTCTTTGCCACACAGAGAGTTAAAGTCTCAAGTACTATCTACAGGTGATTGATTGTTCTTCTATCCAGAAGCGTGACTGCTGGACCAGCCCCGTTACATAATCCATCACATGACCCAGCACATTCCCATCGCCGGCGCGACACGAAAAGCAAAAGCAAAGCAAAAACAACTTGGCTTTTTGACTGACAAAAAGTCAATGCCTTGTCGCCCGGCCGTGCCATTGGGTCCCACCGGTCCATTTGGGGATCTCTCTTGCGGTCTAACTTGACTTTAGCTTGACTTTGCGGCCTGGAGCACTGTGGGCCTCTGACAACCCACCTAGCAACACCACCCCCGACCGTGTCCGTGTGTGTGTGTGTGTGCCTGTTCCGCGATGCTTAATGATTCCCTGTTCCGTCTCCATGAGCCATATGCGAAAAACGCGCCTTAGTTCGCGGACAGTTCGATGCCTCCCGTTCCCCTTCAGCGAAGACCTTTGTCCCATGAAGACCCGGCGCTCACCGATGAAGGTATGCTCTGTCGCATTTACTAGCCCCCTCCACACTCCATAGTCTTGTTTACGTTTGCGGAGTGCTGATTGCTTATTGTTCAACATAGATGTCGGCCTCCTCTACCAAGTCATTACCCGTGCGGAAAGGGATCCAGAAGTCGAGCGACTCCCGTATCGTGTGCTATTCAAGGCCTACGACGAGGTTATTGCCGAACATGGCGTCGACGCGGATCCAGGCTATGCCTGTATGCGCTTCTTGCTCAAAATGGGAAGCAAACATGTCGTAGGAGAGTCGCTCTTCGACAAATTCGAGAACCTACTCGAACGGATGGGCATTGTTATTGAATTCGGCGGCGAGGATGATACCTACGATGAGACGTACCCGGACAGTGTACCCTCCATCGAAAGCAGGCCTAGGCGAAGGATACGCGACACCCGGGAGGACTCAACGCAGCCACAGCCTCAGAAACAACCACAGACTCCTCTACGAAGGCGGGCATCCTTCAATTCCATGTACGATGTTGGCGACGATCCCACTCAAAGAAGCTTCATCAACCGCCCAAGCTCACGGTCGTCCATGTCGCGAATACAAGTTGGGAAGCCTGAGTATCCGTTCACGAAGCCGTCGCCGTCCCCGAAGCATGCGCGGGTCTCTCCAGAAGCGGAGTCTCCCGATAGAACTCAATTGATGGCACAGTTTATCGACGTGGGTCGCCGGCTCATGAGTCGGATGGACTTTCTGGCTGCGCAATCCTCGTCTGCTCAGCCGCCGCCGGCTGACGAGAAGCCTCTTCCCAATGGACTATATGCCCGGTCTGCCGTCGACCGCGATCGCTCAGAAAGAATAGCGGAAGCCTCACGAGCCCGGCGCTCGAAAACATCCTCAAATGGCTCCGATGAAGAGGGAGAGCTATCATCTTCAGTGTCCTCAAGTGACGATAGCATTAATCCCCTCGAACGGCCAGAAATGCCCCCGGAAATGCTATATAGGCCATCGCTTTCGGATCTACTGCGAGATGCATCGACCTTCAATATGTACCGCCAACGAGCCATCAACCGTCGACTTCTTACGCAGTGGGTTAAGAGGGCGATACAGGCCAGACAGAGCCACCATAATATGGAGATGGTCGCCGTGAATCGAGATCGAAACACCTTGCTTCGACAGGCGTTTCAAACGTGGCATACCATCATCCGCGATCGACGTCAGGAAGAGCGGACGGAGAGATTCTTCAAGCATCTGGAAGAGCGCGCGGGACGGGCTCGGGATCTCTATCTTCTCACAAAGGCGTTCTCTCACTGGGCGCAATTGACTGCAGAGGAACTTGCCCGGACATCTGCAGCTCGGCGACATATCCTTAGCGTCAAGTACTTCCATGCATGGCGCGAGATCACCGCAGTTAATGAGATGAAAGCCCAGCGCTTCGCTCTGCGAAAACCTTTTGCTGCCTGGTTGAAGAGGACCAAACAGGTCAAACAGGCGGAAGAGAAGGCGGTTGTTATCAGTAGGGAGAAGTCGAAACACACATTCTATTGGCAGTGGTTCTGGAGCTTCTGCGAACAGCGTGCCCCTCAGTGGTACGACTATTGCCTCAAGAGACGCTCTCTGTTGTACTGGCTGCGCAAGTTTCGAACCAACAGGGAGTGTATTCATGAGATTGATGTCCGGAATAGGCAATATGCTGTGGGATCGATAATGCAACTATGGCATGAGAGGACTCAAGGTGTCATTGCGAGGGAGCAACAAGTAGCATCAACAGAGCGCCGGAAGGTTCTGGAGGAGAAGTTGATAGAATGGAGGGCTCAAGCTCATTTAGCTCCGGTTGCTAACCATGTCACAAAAATGGTGGACACACATATCCTTCAAGCGGCGTACTCACAGTGGGTACATCGCGCTCAAATGCTGAAGCAGGCGCGGGAGATGGATCGGCAACGGATCATACGAAATGCGTGGACAACGTGGAATGACCAGCTTCGCTGTCAAGCTCTCTATGCCCGAATTGAGGAACGTATCAAGCTCGAAGCGATGTACAAATGGATTTTAGCAGAGAGATACCGTCTCATGCAGCGCATTAGGGAACAGCGCATCAAGCGGGAAGTCTTCTCAGTCTTTGTGACTAACGTCCGGAGGACCTATGCCGAATTGCTTGACCGTGCGGAAGTATTCGAGGAGCAACGCAACGAAGACTTGCTCCGATCCAAGCTGGAACGCTGGCGGGATCTGCTATCGTTGCAACGCGAGAGGGAGATGGTTGCCTCTGAGTTCTACGCTCCACGCTTAGCGCAGGAATCGCTTGTGGCCTGGCGTTCGAAGTATCAGCATGTGGTCAAGATAGAGGGATGGGCTAATACCGCCAGATACTACTTCCTGGCTACCAAGTTCACTAAGAAATGGCGTGTCGCGACAGTTGAATCTGCCAAGAAGCGCCGCCAACAAGCGTATATCCAGACTCGGAGGAAGATCAAGATCAATCTGGCATCGAAAGCTCTATCCCATTGGCACACCAGATCCTTACATATGGCAGGTCTGGAGCAGCAAGCCCTGCAATTCTCACGGCAACACTGCTTGGCAATGGCATCCGAGCTTGTACCCCGATGGCAAGAAAAAACCTTCAACCGCCTCCAGGACTGCGATGCAGCCGATGATCACTATGCGCGCCAGATTGTGGGCGAACAATTGACGCGCTGGGTCGAGGCCTTGCTTGTGTATCAGCGCCAGGAGCAACAAGCAAATAACGTGAATCGGGAGCATGTCCTCGGCCAGGCCAATATCCAACTGCGGAAGCTCAGCTTCCGTGTCTTCCAAGTCAAGAGCTTCTCCGAGACCGCCGAGGCGATGAAGGAACGAAACCTAAGGAAGCACTGTCGAAGCATGTTCCGCAGCTGGCTGGAGAAAGCACGAGTTAAGTCCGAGTCGCGGGATTTACCAGGGCCTCTGATAAGTCCGACGAGAAACTATGATGGAGCGACCTTCGAAGCCGAGCCGAACCGACGCATTTTCGATCCTTGGTATCAAACCACGACTCCCTTTAAGACCAACGATCTAGCTGTGGCCGCGAACAGCCAAATTCAACTGGCCTCGACTACGCCGCTAGCGACACCCAACTTCCTCACATCGCCGTCTAAACGAGCTGCCAGAGCGCGGGCTATGGCGCAGGTTTCCACTACTCCTGCGACGCCCTCTTACACTCCATTTGCCAGTCGACTTCTGCGCGTCGGTACTGTACTGCCTCGAACCGACTCGACCAGGCGCCGTACTGGACGAGCGAGCGCCCTGGGCACCAGCGTCCGGTTCGTGGATGAGGAACCGGGGTCTCCTTCCGATGGTAGAAGATCGTCCGGTCGACGGACGTGAAACCCTTCCGGGTTATACTTGTATAGGACTTTATGTACATTTTCTTCTGGTTCCCTTTGTCTATTTTGGGGTTTTGGATGGAGCAGCTTTTTGGGGCGAAGGTTATGATAGATACCCTTTTTGCATGGCAGGTACTGTGGATTAGCTATTGTCGGCTTGGATAATTGAACATTATACACCTCATGTTGGTGAAGACACCTGAAATTATAGTTCAAGTAACATATCAATCGGATAATGATCTTCGAACTCATCTTCACCCCTATCACACTGACCCATCTTACCTCTCACCAGCTCATCCATCTCCCGCCGCTGCTCCTCACTCAACAGCCGTACACGATCCTGCAAAGACCCCAAATCCCCATAAAACCGCCGATCCACAAACCCCCAATAAATCTCATCAAACATAGAACTATACCTCGCGGCAAGACACATCCAAAATAGCCCATTGTCCAAGGACTCGCCCATCCTCGAAGCCAACCGTTGTGATTCCGAAAGAAGCCCTTGCCCAATCAACTCGTCTTCACACTCACGCAATACTTCCAAAAACACATTGCACCGGGGGATATACCGATCCAGGAATTGATGCAGATCTCCCTCCCAGTCCTCCGGACTCTGGAGTAACAGCCACCAAGGCGCTACGTACGTGAACTCGGCTGGGGCCGCGTAGGCGAATTCCCAGTCGATGACGGCTGAGACGTGGGAGGTAGTGAGATCTATGAGGACGTTTGAGGGACGGAAGTCGTCGCAGTAGAGACGGAAGGGCCTTGGGGGTTAGTGAGGTGGAGGTTTTTTGTTAGGTTTTGAAATAGGTAGCGAGCGATTAGTTTTCGTTGGAAGTCTTCTTCGCTGGTGATGGAGGGGTTTTGTTGTTGTAGACGAAGGTGGAGGAGATGCTGTGTGGCTAGGGAGTAGAAGTAGTCTGTGGATGAAGTGAAGGTGTGAGAGGGGGGTGGGAATGCTTCTAGTGGTAGGTTTGCAGAAGCCATTAGCTCGTTCATGTTGAAGGTGAGAGGTCGTTTGGTGATGGTGAAGCAATCATGCTTTGTATCTTGGAGTGCGCCGATGGAGTCGAGTTCTACTCTGGAGAGCTCGAGGACTAGGATGGCCATTTCGCGGTATGCGTGCTTCAAGCTGTGATTGCTTATTTGCGGGTTTAGGACTGGTCGTCCTTCGACAGAATGGTCCTTGAGGAGCTGAGATAGTGGTACACCCTCGATGATTGACATGATTATGTAGGGACCTGCCCAGCAGATCCCTGAGGCGTATACTTCGGGGATGGGGATCGAGGTGGTCTTGCGGAGGTAGTTCATTGTTGCGACTTCATTTTGGACTTTTTCTCGGCGAAGAATGGCTCTTCCTAGAGCGGCGAAGCGGATGATGATATCTGGTTCTTCGTTGCTGTTGTTGTATCTTACTTGATAGCAGATGTTGAATGCTCCGCTTTTCCAGAGGCATGCGGAGATGGGTTTGCCGCTGGCTGGTCGGTGTTTGTGGGCAAGGTGCATTGATAGGAGCTCTGGCTGTCGGTTGGACCAGAGACGAAGCCAGGTTGTGGCTTTTTGTTCTTGTTTTCTTTCTGCGATATGGTCGAATTCCATGGTTGGATGGTGGTTGGGGTTAGGGTTGTAGGGGGTTGAGATGTGAAGCAGTTGCAGAGTACTACTAGATAGACCGCTTTTTCATATGTGAGTGGTTAGAAGCAAAAAATGCGGAGGTATAAATCTGGGAATACTTATGACTGGAATTATGTCCAGCAAGAGGCGGATTTCTACGTCCGTGTACGGAGAATAATAGTGAAGTAATAGTAACTGAAGTATATTCAGTCCCTTTAGGTGATGATATATCCTCACCCCGCTCTACTATTATCAGAGCACAACCCTGTAACTGATAAGTGGGAGGAATTTGCAGCTGTAGCTTTATCAACAACTAATCACAATCACATTTGATTACTAGTTGGTCGCAAAGATCCCTGCTTACTTTGCAGCAGTCTGGATCCCCGCAAGCCTAATTAGTGAGGTTAATCTAAATAGGTATGATCCCCGGGGATAACATGTCCCTGAATGAGCTCATTGGACCAGATGGGAATATTATTCAGGAGCTACAATGTGGCAAAGCACCATATGATTGTAAGTCTTCTTAAAGCCAGAAAGTCACTCAAAGTAAAGGAGGACCGAGGCTATCCGAACAAGCAGTTGGGGTTGATGACGATGGATGAATGAGTCTGGGCGGTGTGGATCACGGGGCCGACGATCGGGGATGCTCTTCTTGCATCTTCGAGGTGAGCTGTCCCCTCCACCCGCATACAGCTCTATACTTGCGTCTTTCTCGCAAACCCCCGTCACATTGCGCAGCTTTCAACTCAGACTTTGCTCCCACAACTGCGCACTGGCAATGGTGTAGCGCCATTGCGAGCGCATCCCCGCGCATCCACGCACTCTACCTCCACAACCACCCGCCTCCATGCGAGCGGTACTGCCGGGGAGGCCCCCAACGAAGCTCCAGGCTTACAGCACCGCGCTGTGGGATGGTCTTCGTATTGTGGTAAGCTCTCTGCATAAACCTCTTCAGCTTCCCCGGTGTTCTATAAGTGGTCATCTCACTGATTCGGCGCTTTCTGCGTACTCTCCACAGGCGTACATATCCGGCCATGCACTAGTTATCCTCGGCGGTCCGCACAAGCTCCTACAAACCATCTATGTCGACGATACCGACGCCCTGGAGGCTGTCACCATAGATGAGCTCTCCGGAAAGATCGCCGTATGCGGTGGACCCGATGTCTTTATCTACCAACCGTATGGCATTCAGCATGAAACCTTGAAGGTCCGTGGTCAATGAGATGAAAAGATACAAGCTCTACGGGAAGTGCATGCTGATGGATCTATGGGGTAGTGGTCTCTAGTCCAAACCTTTCGCAGCGAAGACGACAATGAGACTATTCGTACCCTGTCATGGGGCTCCTCCGAGGAGCTGCTGCTCGGCAACTCTCACCTCACTCTCTGGTTCTTGAACGATACCCCGCGCCAAGTTTGGAAGCAGAAGCTGGCTTCTCCCGTTAAATTCGCGCGCTTCTCCCCCGATGCAACTCTCCTTGTCACCACTGGACATTACGACCGCATGGCCAAAGTATGGCGCCGACTCGCGTTCGGGACGGACATTCGCTTCGAGGTGTCATATCTTCCCCACCCTACAGTCATTACGGGGATACATTGGCGGAGACCGTACCATCGAGAGCAGTCTATGGACAATGTCTTCTATACCGTATGCGCCGACAACAAGATTCGGGTGTGGGCGACCGTGGATCACCATGCGCCGACCGCCTTGCAACTATGGGCGCAAATTGATATGGCCGCTTCTGTTCAGCCAAGGCATGCGACCGACAAGAGCGATCCGACCCGCCGATATGGCTTCATTGTGGACAGTCGAGACTTTTGCATGGCTACTGAGCGAGCTGTGCAGAGAAGTACGGGAAACAAGGATAATCACACTTTGGAACATATCATCGAAGTCGCGAATAAGAGCCCCGAAGTCTGTGTCGTGATTGATGGTCAAGGACATATGTCAGCCTGGGCCCTGGAAGATGTTGGGTCCAAGGTTAAATCCGAAATGCACATGTTCAATATTCTACACGTGGAAGGCCTGGACTTCGCGTTCATGCCCGGTGTCTCCCCGGAAGAAGACTATGCCCAATTGCATGCATTCCAGGGTGCAGAACCAGGCGACTCCATCAGCATTCTAGTCCATCACTTTGATGGCCGGATTGAGTGGTTCGATTCCCCGGTAGATGTGCTTTTTGATCCTGCTCCGCGCAAAAACCGGGTGTCTATGAAGGCGTCATGGACCGGCCACAATGGCCCCATAAAGAAGATCGTTCGTAATGCCATTGGCCACACGCTTGCCTCGCGTACGGATGATAACAAGGCGTTGATTTGGAGGCAAAAACAGCGAGAGAGTGGTACAGCGCTTCTTCGACAGAGCGAGCTGTTCTCTGATGAACATATCCATCGCAGTTGCGTGCTAGAAGACGGCGAGTTTCTGGTTAATCTCCACCACAACGGAATCTCCTTCTGGGATATCCGTCCATTCCATGCCAAGAAGCTGGCGGCCACAACATTCGAATTATCAAGCAAGCCGCTGTGTGTCTTGCCAATCCCTACCGCGGAGCAAAATGGGGTGGTCTACGTAGCAACTATTGGAGCGAGCATGGACGGTATTGCTTGGGAGTTTCGATTGCCGACTTCTAAGCAAACCAACGGAGCAGCGGATGGGACTCAATGTCAGCTGCGGAAGTTCTGTACATTCCATCTGGGGTTGGATGAGGACATGGCTTACATCTTGCCTGTCGACCCAGCCGGCCGCAAAGCCGAGATGCCAGGCTTCTTTGACCTCTTTTCGCCGGATATAGCACTTTCATATACCAAGACTGGCATTGTCCGCACCTGGACGGCCAAGATTGACAAAGAGAAGAGCCGCGTCGAATGGCTCTTGACTTCGACCGTAGAGACAGGCATCAAGAACCCGTCGCTTGCGAGCGGGAGCTCCATCAAGAAAGCAGCGCTTGTGGATGAAGACCGCACGCATCTAACGATATGGGATATGAATGATGCACAGCTGGAGTATGAAGAACATTTCTCACAGGGCGACATCATCCGTGACTTGGATTGGACGTCAACGCCAGACATGCAGTCTATCTTAGCGGTTGGATTTCCTCATAAAGTCATTCTATTATCCCAGCTCCGATATGACTACCTTGACTCGCGTCCGTCGTGGACACAGATCCGCGAAATCTGGATCCGCGACCTTACTCCTCATCCTATCGGGGATTCTTGCTGGCTCAGCAATGGCTGTCTCGCCATCGGAGCTGGAAACCAGCTCTTCGTGTATGGGAACGAAATCGAAAGTTCCGATCATCTGATATCTCAGTTACGTATACCAGCTCGCGGATCTTCTACGGTCGATCTCTTCGAGGTTGTTAGCCGGCTGAATGGACCGCTGCCCGTTTTTCACCCGCAGTTCCTGGCGCAGTGCATTCTGAGCGGCAAAAACAACCTGGTACATTCTGTTTTGCTCAATCTCCATCGCATACTCAAGTTCTACACGGAAGGCGATGACATTGATGGCTTCCTGGACATGCCCCTGGAAAGCTTTTACCTTGAACATGATGTGAGCACCTGGATGATAACCACACAATTACGCAGCTAACCTATCAGACCCCCCAACGAGCCACCTCCAAAGGAATAGATTCCTCATATGCCGATCTCTCTATGGATGAAGAGTCGACCGTAGTGGATGAGGATACGGCTCTGGTGCTCAACGAGAACCTGGCGCGGTTTACCCTGCCCCAGCTTTCTAGCCAAGAGCAATTCCGCTTGGTGGACACAATTGAGTGTGTTGCAACTGTGGAGAAGCATCGCCGCTCAATGGACGACAATGCCGCGCGATACCTCCTCTTCTTCCGTCAGCATATGCTACGCAGGTCCCAAGGGGTGGCGAACAAAGACACGGTATCCTGGCGAGAGATTGTCTGGGCGTTCCATAGCGGCAGCCAGGACATCTTAGTCGACCTTGCATCAAGACAATTTGGTGGCAAGGTGACATGGAAAGCGGCCAGGGAGAGTGGGATGTTCATGTGGTTGTCGAATCCTACTGCTGTGGTAAGAATTCATCTCTGGGTCGTGATCGGATTGTGCTAACAGTGTCAGCGGGCGCAACTGGAAGTCGTTGCTCGGAACGAGTATACTAAATCGGAAGAGAAGAACCCCATCGACTGTTCGTTGTACTATATCGCCTTGAGGAAGAAAAACGTCCTTCAGGGTCTCTGGCGGATGGCCCATTGGCATCGTGAACAAGGTGCAACACAACGACTGCTTGCCAATAACTTTCAGGAAGAGCGGTGGAAAACGTCGGCATTGAAGAACGCATATGCTCTGCTTGGAAAGCGAAGATTTGGTGCGTATTATAGAACTGAATGTGGAACTTCGACTAATGCGGTATAGAATATGCTGCCACCTTCTTCCTTCTTGCGGACCATTTGCGCGACGCCGCTTTTGTGTGTCTGAACCAGGTCGGCGATCTTCAGCTTGCCATCGCCATCACGCGTGCCTACGAGGGAGATGACGGCCCAGTGTTGAAGGAGATTCTGGAAGAAAGAGTGCTCCCTGAGGCTGCCACTGATGGAAACCGGTGGATGGCATCGTGGGCTTTCTGGATGTTGGGCCGCCGTGGAATGGCAGTCCGATCGCTGATTGTGAGTATCACCGTGACCGTAAAATGAAGGATACCAATGACATGTCTAGTCTCCGGTTGAGTCACTTATTCCCGAGACGCCAGCGTCTCCAGGCAGCCCAGGGATGATACCCTTGCAAGCCAAGTCGTATCTATCCAACGACCCTGCATTGGTCGTCCTGTACAAGCAACTCCGTGAAAAGACATTACAGACGCTGAAGGGAGCATCCAAAGTATCTGCACAGTCCGAGTGGAGTTTCGTCATCCGCAATGCTCGTCTGTACGACCGCATGGGATGCGATCTCCTGGCCCTAGATCTGGTACGCCACTGGGAGTTCCTGGGAGGACCACCTTCGCCACAACCAGCCAAGGAGGGGCCACTCGATTTGCAT